GAGTGCTGGTGCTGTTTACTTTCCCTGTGGAATTAGGGAGGAAGTGGAGACTCAATTTTGACATAATTTGTTCCCTGGTCTGCTCAGCAAGATTACAATCTAACATTAAACCTTCCTTGCATCCCTTTTTGGTATTAAAGATATCTTGTAAGATGCCATTGGACTTGTCCAAATCAAAAATAAAAGCACACTTTAAAGAGACACAGGCAGGGGTGCTCTATAAATATATTAATAACTTCCTGTCGCCCAGACTCCAACGAGGATTGTGGAGAGTCAGTCCACCAGTCATGCCAGAAAAGATAACATGTTCTGGCTCCTGGAGTAAGCATATAGTGAAAATAAATGCCAGCACCACAGGCTGGTACAGAAGAGAAGCTATATTCCAGATAGCAAAATGAGTATAATGAAGAAGAGGGTTGGCCCTACTGAACAGAAGGAGATAAAAAAAAATCAGTAATGTAGTAGAATAGTCTGTTGGATGCTGCACTGTATGAAGTAACATCTACTTAACGAGGTGAAAGAGGTGTTAGAATGTTCACTCATTCTGAGTGATCTGATTAGCTGAGCATGCATACACAGGTCCTCTTATAATGGATTCTTATGGCAATTTTTTTAATGCGGAAATGGTCTCCCCCTGTCCCCCCCCCGACGAAAGTAGGATAATAAAAGCCTAAACTGTGCTGAACAATGTCTATTAAATCTCAAATTCACCAGTCTAAAGTTTATCATCTACATTACATTTGACGAAATGAACTTGATCAGGCATAACAATAACTCATTTTTTTTAAAAGGGTGCTTTTGACACCCTCTGCACAAGACATTTTCCATTGGCAAAGTAATTCTTACCTACCTAGCACCAAGATGAAATGTGTATCACAATCAGACACAGTATCCATGAAAAATTAGTTGAAACCGACTCTTGGGAGTTTTTGTCTACACTGGGAAGATGCATCATGTTACAAAACCATTAACTAATGTATTTTAACTAAAATGATAATTAAACATGATTTTGCCTCTTATATGGGTAAGGAAAGTTGTGTTTAAAAATATGTAGCAGGTCATGGTTAACCCAGGGGGAGACCTGTCAGCGCGATCACTGGGTGACTCAGTGAGGCTGAGGTGGAGCTGGTTAGGGCACGTGCAGGTGGATGCTGGTGTAGGGCCAGCTGGTGAGAGCAGGCTGGAAGCCTGAGGCAGGAGCGGTGCAGGCTGGAAGCCCAAGCAGTCAGTAACACCACAAGGCAGAGGGAGAGTTCCCAGCCAAGTGGTGACGTTGCACAGACTGGCTGACTGCTCTTTCTGTGGGATAAATAGCTGCCCATGGGGGTCATCTGACCTGGTCCTGGCTTCTGCGTTGGCTATTGCAGCATGCCCGAGGGATGAGTCATTTCAGGCTCTGGCTGAGGGATTACCTCACAAGACCCAGGTGTTAACCATGACCAGCTAACACGTTTTTAAACACCACCTGTGCCTGTGTACAGTTGGTGCTAAGTAGTGTTTTACATCATGTTAATTAGAATGTGTTATGATTTGTTGTCTTAGTGGAGACACGGTCTAAATGTGCACATAGATAGTACATTGATACATCATAAACCCTGAGGAGAATCTTTGCAACTCATTGTATGGGTCCATAGAGCAGGCTTTGTCTATCGTGGGTATCCAGACCTGGTGTTGGACTAGCCAGATAGTAGCTCATAATTATTTTCCAATGAGAGGTCAGTGACATAGATATGATATATGTGTGACTTAACTGGGTCTTAAATTGTAGCATGAAAGTAGAGGGCAAACACAGTGGGAAATGTATTTATTTATTTGGTTAACTACCCTGAAAATTAGAAGAAATTGGCATCTTTTCCGAACAGGAGTGAATATTTGACAAATAACTCTGAGAATACAGGGCTGGAATGTAACCCATCTAGAGCCATTCCCCAGGGAAATAAGATATCCAATAAAGAATTTCCATGGGTTAACTAAGAAACAAGGCAATTCACACTCCAAACAGGAATACATAAGAGGAATCCCAGCAAAATTACCACTTCTCAACATTGGAGAAATATCAAAAAGGGATTCAGGTGGTACCAAGTAGAGTGCAAGATGCACAGTTGAAAGATATTGGGAAGAGACCTCCTACTTGGGTGAAGAGTAGGGACAAGACCCCAAAGATATTGTATATGACACACACTTACACGGTACTCACTTAAGTACTAGAACTGTTTGAATATTGTTACATCTTTATTAGTATTGTATGGCACATTGGAAACCGTTAGTGGTAAAAGAACTATGTAGCTGTAAGTAGTGATTATAACAGTTTACAATTTTTGATTGGATGAGTTGGTGATATTATTCCAATCCTAGCCAATAGATGTCCTGATTGCAAAATTATTGCCACAAAGTGGTACCTTTGTTGGTAGGCTCCTCAGGGAGGCAAAGACTGAAAGGACATGAAGGCTGAACTACCTTCTCATTCCCTAGAGGTGGTTTCTCAGTAATGGGTTGAGAAACATTGGTGTGGGAAAGCTTTCCCTTTTACTGTTGCCCATGCTGGTGTTCCTACGTGAATAAATCCTTGGACTAAAGTCCTCTGTTGTCTTTTCACCACTTATTATAAACACTAAATTCACTCTGAAGAGAAAAATAATAATTGTAGGTCCTAATGTGTACATGCCTAACTACAGCACATTACTTGAGCAGTAGGCTACAAACTGCTTCTGAAGTACTGTGAGTAATATGTAATTTTAAGGCATTTATCACTACAATGCTCAGTGCCCAATTCAGCAACGTACTTAAGCATGTCTAACTTTAAACAGGTATAGTCCCATTGAAGACAATTTACGCCCACCTTAAAGTCCCTTTGTGCTGCTCACAGTGTAACAGTGCATTAGTATAAATGAGACTCGTATACCACAGGACACCATCTGCTGTTCATTCCACCCTTTCCCTGAGAGTCCGGTTTTCCAGGCAGACATATCAAAAGGAAAAACAATATAAGACTTGCAGTGTGATGGATGTAAAGTTTGTCATTCTCAATGCTGGGAGTGCCTGTTGGGAATGATCAGCCCCAGAAGGACAAGTATCCAGTCAAGAGATGGAAGAAGGGCTACTAATTCATCAGTTCTCTTCCTAAAGTCAAATATGCAGACGTTTAAAAAATATTATCTGTGAGGGCTTGGAGGTGGCATTGTCTGTTATCAGTTGTGTCTGTTTTTTGACTTCCATGATTCAGCATGGAGAGCAACGGTTTCTAAGATAGATGCTTGCAGGCACCCATGGGTATAGCAAAAGGCTGAAATATGACAGAGTTTATTTTGGGGGGGTTAGACTTGTAAAAGCAAAACTAAGGCTGCTGTGGATGGGCCAGCTATTATTAGGCAGCTGGTGTGTTGTGACCACTGCTTATTGTTCTGTATTTAATTTGTCTCGTTACCTGGTGCTTCCCCCACCTGGTGGTTGTTTTTGCTTGTTATCGCTCATTTCATAGTTAGATTGTAAGATCACTGAGGCAGGGACCATTTCTTTGTGATGTATTTGTACAGTGCCTAACACAATGGGGTCCTGCTTCCTGATTAGGGCACCTGTGTACTACATAATATAAATAATAATGGGTAATTGGGCAATCAGCTGATTATGGCTGGCTCTGTGTAACAAGAAATAGGGCAACAAGCAGTTTGAAGGGTAATAGGATTTAATAATGTTCAGAACCTCTGGAAAGAGATTCCAATAGTTAGTAACCCCAGTCCTCCTGGCGTTGTATAAGTCAATGAATGCCCTTGTCTCCTTATCTTATGGCTGCAGCACAGGACGTGAACTCAGGAGTTCTGGGTTCTTGTCACAGACTATCTGTGGGAAAACTGAGGCCTCAGGAAAGGTTAAATTACTTTGTTTCAGTTGATGGATATTAATTCTGTCTACTTCATGGGTGGGGTGGTGTTTACAAATACTAGTGAATTAACCCGAAGTCTTTTGAGATGCTCAAAGTGCTATGATTGTGAATAATAGTAAAATGTAAGATATATACTGATCTCCCAGTGTCTGGCTGATAAAACAATAGTGGTTTCCTTTCTTAAGTGTGGATATTAGTAATAGATTATAAAGAATAAAATTAAAGCAAGTCCTAAATTTGTCTAGATTCAAAGTGAAGTTTCTTTTTTTTCTATTAGGGTTCTGGTCCCTGTCAGATTGGTGAGCCCTGAGCCTCTTCTCCAAGTCAGTGGTCTGCATTTCCACACTGGAAGCCAATATTGCCCCTGCTTTCGACTTACTACTTAGTGACCTTAAGATGAAGGCCCCTCCCTCCATGCTTGGAAGTTAAGGCAGTTTCTCCTGGGCAGGACAGTTGTCCTCTCTTATCACAGTGATGGATTACTGTTCTCACCCTGTAGAGTGTTGTATAGGGACATCCCATCTCTGCCATCCTTTGTTTCCCAAACTGTGTCATCCAGCTTTCCACCTCCGTAGAGTTTTAGCCATTTGGTTTTCGTGTGACTTTTCAACTTTCTCTTTAGAAAATAACTGGTGATAAAAGGCAGTAGGGGCTGCCATAGCTTCTCAATAGAAGTGGCAAAGACCGCCCTCCCCTTTGGATGGTCATCCAGTTTAGAATGCTGCTAAGAGAATACCTGCCAATCATGTTCTGAGATCTAAGGGCCCCAAGCTGGGAATCTGTTCCAATAACATACTTGTAAATCTTGGTCTCAGAAGGTAACGATTTTCTTTACTTGCGTCACAGAGGTGTGTTTGACCTCAGTATTTGGAGAGTGATTTGTGAACTTCTGAAGGTGATGAATGCCAAGTGTTGTTGTTGTTAGAAGAAGAAAAAAGATCCCTCTTTACATATAGTTATGTGCACGATCTTTGCTGAACAAAGGAATAGTTGTCTCACTTTTGCTGATTTTTTATTTTATGTTGGTTCTTCCATTTTTTAAAAATAAAACAAGCCTACTAGGTTAATGTGAAATTTGATCCTTGGAGCAAAAGATACTTACCTTATCTTTTTGATACAGGAACTATTGTCCGACGTCATCGGATTCCACTTCCGCCTCCTAACGAAGATCAGTTTTATACTGTAGATTATTTCAACATCAATACAGAAGTAATCTTTTATGCCCGAAGATATAAGATTGTAGATTGTGATCAATTCACAAAATGTTTTTTGAGGAAGCTGGGAGTCAGATTAAATCCTCCAGCTTATCATCCAGAAGACCCATACACCAGAGGCCGGCAAAAGGTAAGGCAAAACAGTGATGGTGAAAATCTAATTTTACAAACAAAAAAGCCTCTGTGAATTCATATGCAAAGAATATTACATAAGAACATTTCTCCTGCAGCAAATTAAAAATGTGTCCAAGTAACTATTTTAATATATGTCAATTAAATTTGGAATTAGTACAAAAAGAATAAAGCAGAAAAGAAAATACCCATTTGGTTTACTTTGACTCACTATCAAAAGCAATAGAACATAATATAGTCCCAGACAGGTCAATTTTCCTGTTGATGTGCACATCTACTTTGAAGCAGAGGGGAAGCATTTGGGGAATAGCTAGCATGAGAAATTCTTACGATAAAAGCAATATCTGTTGTGTGTATTTGCTTGATAAAACAGTTCTTATCTGTTACTAAAAATTGTAAGAACACAGAAGTGAAATTGTCTTCAATGTTTGTGTGCATGTAACTGCACAATATTACATTTAATATCTGTATGTATAAAATGAGTTATTTCCAGCCCTACATGTGGTGAATCAGATTTATTGAGACAAAGTATAAAAAACGAGGTTGTCTCTAATAAATCTGATTCACCACATGTAGGGCTGGAAGTTACTCTTTTAATATATATATTAACTGTAATACTGTGCTAGCTGTTCCCCAGATGCCTCCCCTCTGCTGCAAAGTAGCAAGAATTCCTTATGGTTGTTTCCCACATAAGAGCTCAAACGGGGAGAATTCAGTAGATGATTGGGGATCTTCTCAAATAGCAAACAACAGGGGAGGGATCAGATGAGCCGAGTGAAGCGGGCCCTCAGCAATAAACTTGAAAATCCTTTTCAGGGTCTGGTTGAATTGTTCAACCAGACCATCCATTGGTGGATGATAGACAGACATATATAGAGTCTTTCGATTTAGTAGATCACACTTCAGTAGCCAAGTCGTAAAGTTGGTGCCTTGATCAGTAAGGGTCTCCTTAGGTACTCCTTACTCTGGCAAAGATTTTTAGCAGTTCTGCTGTAATAATCTTTGCATTGGGGACATGCAGTGGGATTGCCTCAGGATAGTGGATGGCGTAATCAACTATAACTAGTACATGTTTGCACCCAGCTGCACTTTTTTCTAAAGGCCCTAGGAGTTCCATCCTGTGGCTTTCAAATGGGATGCTTACTGTGGGGAGTCAGACCAGAGGGGCTTTTGTCACTCCTTTAGGTCCTACTTGTTGGCATTTGGGGCAGGAGCCTTTAACTTCTTGGTGAATTCTGGGCCAAAAAAAGTGATCCAGAATCCTGACAGGGTCTTCTCATGATTGAGGTAACCCGCAGAGAGGGTATTGGGAGCCAGTCGCATAACCTTGCACCTATGAGGCCAGGGAATGAGGAGTTGCAACTGAACTTCACCTGTCAGTTGGTCTTTCTCCTACTGGTACAGTTGCTTTGCCTGGAGCTCAGACCAGGGGTACTGCTCTGCTTGTTGAGGGTCTATCACCTCCCTGTTCACCACTGGCAGTTGGTCATAAATAGGGCCCTACCAAATTCACAAGCCACTTTGGTCAATTTCACGGTTATAGGATTTTAAAAAATCCTAAATTTCATGATTTCAGATATTTAAATCTGAAATTTAATGGTGACGTTTTAGTCATGGGTATTTTTAGTAAAAGTCACGGATAGGTCATGGGCAGTAAACAAAAATTCACGGCCTGTGACCTGTCCATGACTTTTACTAAAAATACTAGTGAATAAAACTTGGCAGAAGGGACTGCCTGGGGGCCCCACGGGCGCTGGGGGAGGGCAGCCCGGATGCTTCGGAGGGGGGGACGGGACACGGCAGCACGTGGCCCAGGACCCCCGCTGGTGCTGGGGGGGAAGTTTGGTGGGACCAGCAGGCTCCCTACCTGGCTCCCCACATCCCCCCCACCAGCAGCAGCAGAGTTTGGGTATGGGAGGTGGCAGGGGGTTGGGGCACAGGATGGGGTGAGGTGGGCTCTGGGCGGCGCTTACCTGGGGGGCTCCCCGGAAGCAGCAACATCCCCCTCGCTCAGCTGCTGGGCGGAGGTGTGGCCAGGCAGCTCTGTGCGTTGCCTCCGCCTGCAGGCACCACCCCCGCAGCTCCCATTGTAGGGGACTCACAATATTGCCACCCTTACTTCTGCGCTGCTGCTGGTGGTTGCGCTGCCCTCAGAGCTAGGTGGCTGGAGAGCAGCAGCTGTTGGCTGGGAGCCCAGCTCTGAAGGCAGCGCTGCCATCAGCAGCAGTGCAGAAGTAAGGATGGCATGGTATGGTATTTTTGTGCTGCTGCTTTCAATGCTGGGCACCCGGACAGCAGCCAACCGCTCTCTGGCCACCCAGCTCTGAAGGCAGCGCAGAAGTAAGGGTGGCAATACTGCAACCCCCCCACAATAATCTTGTGACCCCCCCCCCGGTGGCCCCCTTTTGGGTTGGGACCCCTAGTTTGAGAAACGCTGGTCTTCCCTGTGAAATCTGTATATAGTATAGGGTAAAAGTACGCAAAAGATCAGATTTCATAGGGGAGATGAGATTTCATGGTCCGTGATGTGTTTTTCATGGCCATGGATTTGGTAGGGCCAGAAACCTTCCCTCTGATTCTTGGTGAGGTCAAGTCCCTCTAGTTAGAATGTCCCCTTCCTGTTAGGGGGACCAAGATCACTTTGTTGTTTGGTGGCCTTTCTCACTGAGATGGATCCCCCCTCTCCAGGGTCCTGCTCCCCACCTATACCTGCCAACTTTTCAGAGTTTGAGATCCCATCTCCCAAGGCACCCTTAATTAATTCCTCTGGGGCAGGTTTAGACTCCCTCAGTACCTCAGAGAAATGCTCCCAATCCCACCCTCAGATAATGGGGCAGGTTAGTGTCGAGGTGAGCCCCACACAAGGGACTTCATGTTTTCCTCTGTAGTCAACTGCACGTGTACATTAGAATAGGGATTAACGTCTCTGTGAACATACTGTAGAAAGATAGACTCCCTGGGTGCTCAGGATTTGGGACCAAGTCATCCTGGACCAGGGTCTGCCCACACTGGGAATCCATCAGACCCATCATCTCTGTACCGTTTATCCGAACAGAGACCATTACTTTAGCTGGTGTTTGCTTATGGGCACAGTTATCTGCCTTCCACAGCTATCCACAACCACACTCCATGTAGCGGCACTTGTGATACCGATGACCTGGGTGCCCACATGAAAAGCAAACTCCCACTGCTGGCTCAGTGGGCACTGGCCCTAAGCCTAATGTTTGAGATAGCCTTTCCTTATGTGGCTTGTCTGCTTCCATCCCCTGGCTTTCCTGCAGAGGAGTCCATGTGGCCCCCACTGACCTTTGTTGGGGCTGGGGCCTGAGATGCTGGGGTTTCCCAACAGGGACAGCCTGGGGCCCTTGGAGGCTGGTGCTTCTGAGACCATACTGCCTCATCGCCAATACCCCTGGTGAGTCGAGGGGCTCCCTTGGCGTCAGGCAGGTTCTTGTGTGATGCTGCCAGAGCCACTTCAGCAGCTAGATCATCTTCCATCAGCCATACAACATCGGCTAGGGACTCTGGCCGGTGTTTGAGTACCTAGTGTCTACCCTGAGCTGAAGGCATGTGGGCAAACTACTCCACCCATGATGAGCTCAGCCAACTGAACTCCTGTCCAAATCTCTGGCTTTAAACACCTTCAACATAAGTCTCAATTTCTGGGCAACCATGCAGGGTCAGGCTCCCTGGGGGAATTTCTCCCCATGGAACCTCTGTCAGAAAGTCTCCTCCATGATGTCAGGGTAGTCGAGTACAACTGCTTTCACTTGAACATCCAGCCCCCAGTATGTAGCCTATGCTGGTCCTGTCAGGTCAGGTGCCAACAGGGTAGCTCACTGGTCAGGTGGCTACTGGGCTGCTGTGGCTACTCACTCAGACATTACTAGGAAAGCCTCTGGGTCCATCCTCAAGTCTCCTCTTAGTGAGTTTCACTGACAGGTGAGGCCTATGGGGCCTGGGGGGGAAACCCCTGGGAGACCCTGGGCTGCATCAGGCCCTTAACTGTTGGACCAGCCTTTGCTGCTGTTGTGCCTCTAGGGGCTGGGCCAGCTGTTGCTATTGGGCTGCCACTTGCTGCAGGAGTTGCAGCTGCTGCAGATTCTCTGTCATGCACTTGAGAAGATTCTTGAGATCCATGTTGTCTGACCTACCAACTCAGACCTGTAGAAGTGTAGGGTGTTTGGCAATCTGGGTCAATCAGTCTTCACCCTCTCCAGGGGTGGGAAGAAGTCCTGCATTCTTCACCAGTTGTGAAGGGGTTGACTCACTGATGATGCCTCCTTGTGGTGAGGCATGGCATAGTAGCTCTCTCCCCGCTGGGTATCTCCTGGCAATGGTTGCTCCTCTGTGGTGATCTGCTTCTTCCTGTGACTTGGTTCTCCAGCCAGGTCACTTCACAGTCTCTTCACTTCTGGGGTGGTCCATGAGCAAAAAACGAAGAGAATTAATGCAAATAAACAGAATAAGAGACAGAGGGGATTGTCTCTATCTCAGAGTATGTCAGAGCCTGGCCCTCACTTCCCTCAGGGAAGGCTTCAGGCAGTGGTTGTCGGGGAAGCTCCTGCCGTCAGTCAGCCCTTTTCTCAGGGGCTGAGCGTTAACAGTCTGTCCTCTTCGCAGGTATGCCACTAGTGAGCTGCTGTTAAGCTCCTCCTTCAGCCTGTGCATGCTTTGCAAGTATAGCGGGCAGAGCTGCCTGAGCCCAGAGCATGTCTTTAACCCTTTGTTGTCCAGTGTGGGGTTTGTATACCCAATCACAACATCCTACTTATGATATTGCGTAGGCTGAATGAATACTAATAAACCTATTAGTCCTCATCCTCAAAGGAAACCTGCACAACACTTTCAAAAGACGAGCCTGGGAGCTTACATTCAGAACTCTGGTAGACACTAAGGAACATGGACTACATAGAAACATTGGATTTATGGCTTATTACAACAATCTGTAACCCACTAACAACCCACCCCCTCAGCTTCCTCCTCCTTCCCCTTCCACTTCACCTTTAATAGTCCCTTGAAAAGGTTAACTACTTGTTCTAAACAATCTGTTCCACTTTATATTTAACTGTGACTCTCGGAGTACATTTCCCAGACCTGAAGAAGAGCTCTGTGTAAGCTTGAAAGCTTGTCTCTCTCACCAATAGAAGTTGGTCCAATAAAAGATATTACCTCACCCACCTTGTCTCCCTAACATTTTTAAAGGTAGATTTAATTGGGCTCATGGGGGGTTACCAATACTTTGGAGGATAGAGCTAAAATTCAGAGGGATGTTGATAAATTGGAGAACGGGGCTATAGACGACAACATGAAATTCAACAAAGACAAATGTAAGGTGCTACATTTAGGGAAGAAAAATCAAATGCACGAATACAGAATGGGGGATAACTGGCTTGGCAGCAGCACTGCTGAGGAGGGTCTGGGAGTTGTGGTGGATCACAACCTCAACATGAGTCAGCTATGCGATACTGTTTCAGAAAAAGCAAATGCAGTTTTAGGTTGCATTAACAGAGGCATATCATGCAAGTCCCGGGAGGTGATAGTACCACTCTACTCGCCACTGGTTATATCTCCGCTGGAGTGCTGTGTCCAATTTTGGTCACCAGTGTATATAAAGGATGTAGAGAAACTGTAAAGGATCCAGATGCTAGCAACAAAGGTGATCAAAGGGATGGAACACAAGCCATGTGAGCAAAGGCTGAAGGAACTGGGTATGTTTAGTTTGGAAAAGAGGAGATTCAGAAGGGGACGTGATAATGGTCTTCAAGTACTTGAAAGGTTGCCAAAAAAAAAAGATGGAGAAAAGTTGTTCTCTCTTCTACAGAGGGCAGGACAAGACGCAGT